ACATAAAGTAAATATAGCCCAAACTAGGATCTTGTATCAATCGAATTTCCAAACCCCAAACCATGTAGAAATTCAAAGGGCGGCGGTCGTCGCGCCGCGTCCTGTTTGATATGTGACTTATAGCGGCGTTCACAACTCGTGTAAGGTACATTGTTTACATGACGTTTTTGTTAGGGGGGTCGTCACCTGCGCATGCAACTAAGCATGTCATTGTTTAAAAAGAAGCGTCTACCCATGAGCCTTTGCGTTTTAGCACGCGTTTTTATCAATTCCTGCCAAATAATATGTATAATAATATGGTACTCTTTGTATCAAAGTCACCTGTCAAATTAGTTTGAGATTATTTCTCACAGAGCTTACAACTTAGAACCAGGAAGTCGCATCATTAGAGACTGACATCACAATGCTTGTATTTTTTTGTATTTCCCCAAAAAGGTAGGCACCACTGTCAGTTTTGTGGTGACACAGCTGTTTGATAAAAGATAAATTAAAAAATACAATTGTCGCGGTAGTCGCATCTGCAGCGCGTCTATACAGCAGAGTGGGGGACTCGGAGGTCAATAACGTGTCATGGAGTGATTATTATATTAAACACAATGACACAATCTCTGAGAATCAGACAGTCCACTGAGGTAACTTTGATCTTGTCGATCTGGCGTTCTTCAATGATCACATACGTACAAATGCCTAAATTATTGCGAAGTTTAGGACGATCGAATTTCAACAAAACTAACTAATTTGAGGTAATTGAAAAAATATGCTTTTATCTCATAATTAGAAGCAAATAATATTGTTATAAGATCCCGAATTTCCCTCAGTAGGGAAATTAAATTGCAATCAGCACTCCGAAAGCACTGATAGATACAAATTCGTTAATTGCAACAAAATGTGAGATGAACTTGTCACACTGAATCAAATGCGAACATTCAACTCGTCCGTCGCTAGACAATAGAAACATAATCTATGTTAATTGTTGCATATCCAACGAGAAATATGACGTCAGAGCACTTTCAAAATTCAAACTTTTGTATTTGTAATATAAAGTTTATTTTATTTTATTTTGTAATTGTTAATAAACAACCAATATGCATGACCCCCTACGGAAAAGCTTCATTTGGAAGAACTCATTTAAAATATATATATATATATGCGGTTAGGGTTAGGTTCAAATAGTTTTCTTCTTTGAATAACTCAACTCATCATATTGCATAATACCAAAGAAGGTAGCAAAAATGAGTATGATATATTTGAAATAAATTTATCATTAATAAAAATATCAAAACAACAGTATATACTAGTAACATAACCTGGTATATGAACTATTTGTAACTCTTAAAGCGGGGGAGTCGTCACCTGCGCATGCGTCAGATGGCCATAGCGTGTCATTGTTTACAAACAAGCGTCTACCCATGAGCCTATGCGTTTTAGCATGTGTTGTTATCATCGCTTGGGACACAGTCCCTCTATCACAAGTGATATTTAATAGCATCACTGCTGCCATGACCAACAACATTTCATGGATGCCATCATCACCACTCCCACCGACAACACCAACATGGACCACATATTAATTACGGGGTACCCCAAGGTTCTGTTCTAGGTCTAACATTATTTTTACTCTATATAAACGGTCTTCCCAATTCGACATTTTTTTTTATTTTTCGCCTTTTTGCTGACGACTCCAACTTATTTCATACTTATGACAAAAATTGAAGTCAGGGTAGTTTTATTTGTTGGTGTTTTAATGGATAAACATCTTACTTGGTTTAGTCACATCGATCACATCAATAGTATAATTAGTAAAAAAAGTGTGGCCTATTAAACTAGAAACGTCTTACCCATTAACATGTTAATATTGCTTTATAACTCCATTATACAGCCGAATATCACTTATGGTCTGGAGGTTTGGGGTAATACATATCACTCACACATAAATGCCATTTATATGACCCAGAAAATGTTAGTTCGCGCAATGACGTTTAGTTTGTTCACTGAACACTCGACCCCTTTATTCAAAAAATTAAACATCCTTGATATCTATAAAATGCACAAATTAGTCAACTGTACTTTCATCCATGACTTAATCCACCATAATCATTCATATCAAACCAGACAATTCCACAATCAAAATCGTCACTTTTGGCCAGTTTTCTATGACATACTCAGGTGCAAAAATATGGAATAATATCCCGGCTACAATTAGGTCAATTATCTCACGATGCTCGTTCAATATAATGATTAAACAAATATTATTGACAGAAAACTAGAAACATATGATTTTGTTTGCCAAGTTGTTTATTCATTTTTTTTAACCTGATTTATTTTTCCAAAACTTATTTTCTTAGACTTCAAAGTTCTGTATGGCATCCAGTCTGGTTGGTTTTGGCGGTACCACTTTCGCGGTTGCCAGTGGCTTGCGGTTTTTGGTGCTGGTGTCGTCAAAGGCTGATGCTATATTTGTTCATTTATTGATTAATAAGCTATATGTTTATTCATCACTGTTTAATTTACATATTTATTTGTTTAGTTATTTATTAATTTGGTTAGTTAATCTTCATATTAATATACTTATTTTTGGCCCTCTACTATATACATCATAATTTATTTCCAGTGTATATTGGAAATTAGACTAGACTAGCAGTAAAAATGATCTATTTTCTGATTTCCTCTTCACCCAATATATATATATTTTTTCTTACTATTTGTTTCTAGTTTTCTCCGTATTTGTTTTTGTGTGTGGCTTACTTTTATTATTATTTTTCAGTGTTTCTTATTGTTATTATTATTTGGTAAATAAATATTATTATTATTATTAAATATTATTATTCACCCATGCCATGACTGACAACACTGTCATGGATGACATCATCACCTTATACTAAAATATGCTTTAGAGCAGTAAACAATTTCCACTTCCGGTCCAGTTATTTTTTGAGTTTGTTTTTGGATATTCCAGTTTCGTTGTGCTGTACTTCGTTTTGTAATTCGGACTTCCCAGAGTGTCTAAAAACAGATACTAGTAGTTCGTGATTTTGATACAGAAAATTCCTGGGCTAAATCATTTGCCGAGGGATGGTCGCTTAGGTATGCGTACTCTAACTTGCAGCACATAGACCTAACTGCGCTGACAAATAAAACAAATTAATTGAGTTGTACATTTGTTTTGAACTATAATTTATCTATATTGAAAAATTCTTCTGTGGATTATTAATTTCCATAAACAATATTCAACTACCCTTCTGGAACACCATTATTTACAGTATGTCACTAAATCAGTATATTAACAAGAATGCAAGATGCAAAGCCCATTCTATATATGTTCAAAGCGCGGCGGTCGTCGCGCTGCGCATGTGCGACATTTGTGGTGATAAACATTGATTTTCCCACAATCCAATGCGCTCTTCAAATAGAAATCACAAGTATGAGGTTTGACATGGGTGCGACTTGCACTGATTACCGTCGACTCCTTCGATACCTTCCAATCCCTTAAAATTACCTAATTAAAGCTTGGAAACGTCTCAGTTTGTACTTGTTGATCTCCGCAACAGTCAATTCAAAGTCGCCATCTTTGTTTATACGAGACCCAATATCTCGCGCCACTGGGTGATAATATCAGAGCATCCGTTTTATTTAGGAACTCCTGCCAGAGCAACTGCACAAAACATAAGGACAAATTAACAGCTCCTAAAGATGGTGTTCCAGTCGTTAATGACGTTAATTATCAATCCGATGAAAGGACCAGTTACTGTGACAAAGTTCTACTCACTGCGAAAGCTACCCACTACGTAGCTACAACTTACAAGTAACATGAATCAAAAGTTTTTGGGAGGGGGGTCACTGTATTTTCAGGTGATGTGAAGGGGGTCACCCTGTTTGGTTTTGTTTTTGCTTGGGAGGGGAGTCTTTTTATACTTTTGAAAAATCAGATTCCCCAGCATCCCCGACCAAAGAAAATGACCAGTCCCTTTCACCAATAGAAACACAACGAGCTGCTAAGTACACGACGGGAGATGAATTTGACATAATACTTCGCAGTAGATTTTATTATTTCTTTTGGAACTAAATACTCAACTTGATACATGCACTACAAGCGTGCTGAGCGACACACACGTACAAGCGCAGTGGCGGCGGCACCAGGGGCGCCCACAAAATGTGGAGGGGTGTCGCCCCCCCAAATCGAGCTCAAACCCTTTTTTTGTCGCTCAAAATGCGTTTCAGAGGATCTAGATTTCAGATCTCGCCCCTCATGCAAAATGTCGTGGTCGAAGTTGGTGGACGGACCACTTCATAGTTTATGGGGGAATTAGATCGTGATATTGTATCTTCGGGGGGCGGACATCCGGGCATTTTCACCGCCTGGCAACCCGCGGCGGTGAAAACAAAGGCCCAAAACTCGCAGAAAACGGTACTTTGGAATGATTGTTGAGACTCCTCTGAACAGTGCAACAAGATTAGCCTTACGTGTGTAACATATATAAATTTGGTTGTTCGGAATTACTTCAAAGTTGAGTTTGTGTTGTTTTCTCGAATTTTCACCGGCTCGACCGGCGTTCCACAGCAGCGCGCACAGAGCCCATAGAAATGCATTGTACAGTGGTGCGCGTCTTAGCAACGTGGAACATCTGTGACGTAGCTCCGCCCCCGAGGATACCCTCTTTTTAAATCTCTGGGTTCGAGAGCACGCCGCCAACGACATGGTCAGAGAGTAGGTTGCGCAGCCAATATTGTGTTCGTGTGTGATTATGGTTTTTTTCAGTCAAAAAGCCGAATATTGTGACAGTTTCTTCAGCGGATGGATTAAGGTGGCTTCAAGAGATTATCTCTGAAAGTTTGCGATTGTTTTGTAAGGAATTGGAAAACTGTTTCATAACCTTCCAACTTGTTTCTAGGGATTGAAAATGGCGGCCGCCAAGGAGTAAACAACTATCGTATCGTTGCATTATTTGCATCACATTATTCGTCGACTGTTTAATGCCAACAGCGATCGGCTGTCGTTAAGAATGTCGCTGACATGCACACAGGTTTCAATAGGTGAAGCCGCACCGTCTCCACGCACTAACCACGCTAGTATCTGGTACGAAAATAAATTCGTCGTCTACGGTGGCAATTCAGTCAGCAAATACGAATGCTTAGACGATTTGTGGGTGCTAGACACTACGGCAATGACTTGGACACGTCCCCAGACGTCGGGATCTGCACCAGGACCTCGCTGTCACCACACGATGACGCTGGTTGGAAATAAGGCTTTTCTATTTGGAGGCTGGACAGGTAAGACCTATATGTTCAAAATATTTGAAATCAGAAATAACTGATATTTTACCTTTATCACGAATATTTTATTGTTGTAAATGGAAACTTTTTCTAAAGGTGCAATACATTTTTCTTATTATATCAAGCTGTGGTTCCGCGGTGTTTTATGTCAGAATAGGTCACTTGCCTTGGTGTATAGGTCTGTGTACTAAAACCAGGAAGTCAAAACTCCGCTGACGGAACCACGCCCACTATATCATCCTAATCTGCTTATGCATTTTAAATTGGTATATATTTTGGCATAGAAATACCAAGTTCAAAAACAATTTGTTTTTTGAAAACAAGTTTATTTTTTATTTCAGAACTGTCAAGTTTATTTGGTTTATTTTATTTCTTCATCTAAATAATTGTAAATTGTTTTGTTTACAGATTGTATACATATCATCGACCTTACAAAAATATGTGGGGGTGGGGTGGGGGTGAAAACGTAAAAATTGGGAAACAATTCATTAGGCCCCAACTCTATCTTGAACCCTAAAACTCCTACCCTCCATATTGTAATTGTATACATGTATGCCCCTCCAGATATAAACTATGTGTCCTGCAGAGCATATACAGTCAAAATTGGGGGGGGGGGGGCACTGGAGGGGAAAGATTAGTTTTACAGTTAGGGGGTCCAAAGGAACTCTAACCAAAAATTAGCTTTATTTGAAAAATGATTATTAACTACCAGAATTTCTTAATACTTTGTGACAACCAGGAATATCTGACATGATTTTCATTGTAGGTAACAAAACACAATTATTAAATAATAGACCTTTTTACCATAGAAACCAATTTTAAATATTTAAAAAATCACTATTTGCGTAATATATAAACCATGTAAATTGTCAAATTTAATCAGTTTTAATGGCAGCCAACTAACTGGTATTATGTATTAGGTTGATTTGGCATGAATATTTACAAAAGAACTTTAAATTATTGTCAGTGTGTTTGAATGTTTGGGATTGTTTTAACTTTCCATTTGGGTGAACAAACCTATGAACTAATCAATTTAAAATTAAATATCCAGTCTGTTTAACTTTGATTTTTCAGTACAGTAACCAGGGTACTGGTGGTAAATGCAAAAAGTGGAAGTTGTAAAATAACAGGAAGCACAGGCTATGTTTTTCCTTAAGAATTATTCCTCTGGATGTGTTCACATTGTCATATCACAAATACTTATAATGGTATTTCGATGCCATATTTTGAGCTGCAATGAAATCTTTTTCATCCAATCACATGACATTCTCAGGATATAAATAAAGTGAGAATTGTTTACTGCTCTAAATATCCAAATATATTTCAGTATAGGGTGATGATGCCGTCCATGACAGTGTTGATGTTGTGCATAATAGCGGTGATGATGCCGTCCATGACAGTGTTGGTGTTGTGCATAATAGCGATGATGATGCCGTCCATGACAGTGTTGGTGTTGTGCATAATAGCGATGATGATGCCATCCATGACAGTGTTGGTGTTGTGCATAATAGTGGTGATGATGCCGTCCATGACAGTGTTGGTGTTGTGCATAATAGCGATGATAATGCCGTCCATGACAGTGTTGGTGTTGTGCATAATAGCGATGATGATGCCATCCATGACAGTGTTGGTGTTGTGCATAATAGTGGTGATGATGCCGTCCATGACAGTGTTGGTGTTGTGCATAATAGCGATGATGATGCCGTCCATGACAGTATTGGTGTTGTGCATAATAGCGATGTTGTTGCCGTCAATGACAGTGTTGGTGTTGTGCATAATAGCGGTGATGATGCCGTCCATGACAGTGTTGGTGTTGTGCATAATAGCGATGATGATGCCAAAACAACACACGATAAAATCACAAAGGCTCATGGGTAGACACTTGTTTGTAAACAATGACACACTATGGCCATCTGACGCATGCACAGGTGATGACTTCCCCCACTTTAACTAAAGCAGTATACAAGAGTACATACTCATTTTCAATGCTATTTTGTTTTTCAGGCAAACGAAGATGCAACTTTCTGCACTCATTGGATATAGACAGTTGGACTTGGGATGATTTGACAGCTAAGATGTCAGCAGTGGATCCACATTCCAGTCATGCGGCTACACCGATAGATGCCAATACACTCCTCACTGTGGGAAGAGGGGAAACAGGCACCCATGCTAAGTACGGGTGTAACATTGACTTCCTGAACATTAAAACACTACAGTGGACAACCTACCCGGGCAGTACAATTTCCCGTGCAGGACACTCACTGAATTTCCAACCCGATGTGTCTACAAGATATGCCGTGGTGTTCGGTGGGCGGCAACGTCACATGACAGAACAGGTTGTTTGTAAAGCTAAAGGTACTCTGCCGAAATCATTCCATTCTAAAGTGTCAGATGAAGTCACGAAGAATAGTCGGAAAGTTGAGGTTCCGCCCGGTCGGAGCTATCACAGTAGTACTGATCTCAGTGGTTTGCTTCTGATCTATGGTGGTTTTATTGAAGGGAAATCTGTGCGAGGTCTTGTTGACGGGGTCACTGATGCATTCCTATACGACGTTAAGAATAATCGCTGGTTAGTACCTGAAAAAAAGGGGGAATGGCCGCCAAGAGCTGGACATACGGCTGCTCGGATTGGAGACAGAAGTGTCATGTTATTTGGAGGGGAGCATGCTAAGCATTATTACAATGATGTCCATGTTATATCATGGTAATAAAAGCCAATTATTTAGTATTGAGATTTTAAGTAAGTAGCCAACTCATAATTTCCAAGAAAGTTGGTCGTAATTTGCATGATAGAATTTGTTGGTTTATTGTGAACAATCATGGAGCTATTGTCCCATGGCACAATAAAATAGCGTGTTTTTTTTTGCGTTACGGTGACATTTTTTCGAGAAATTGCTATTTTACATTACTTCCATAGAACACAATGTTAAAGAAAAATAAAGTTGTTGACATTTTTTTAAAACCCAGATTTTTGAAATGAATTAGGCTGCCACCAGCCTATAATTTGAGATATGGCATAATATCTCTGCCATAGGAGCCAATGCCAAAAGTGTTATAATACTGCCAAAATGGCAACTATCCACTTGAATATTAGGCCGGTGACCCACATTTTTTTTAAAATCAATAGCCTTATATTGCCTTGGAGTACAATTTATTACAAAATGAATAAATTCTGGGTATTTCCATTTACAAGTAAGCTTTTACCATAATTCTTTGTTTTTAGTACAAAAATGTATGATGGTATCGCTGAAGCTCTGTGAATGCCTGCCCACAAAATATCAATGTGACAGTTCAGTTGATAATACCCAGTATTTAGTAGATAATGAATCTGTAAATATTAACACATCCCTTGTTGAATGCCTCCACAAATAGACGAAATGAATGGGAAAAAATTACGTCATCAGTTGAACTACACGTAACCAAATTTCATTGAGCGATTGTTGTAGTGAAACTGAAGATAAAGAATGAGCCATGGAATTTGTTCTATGGAATGCATCTCCAAAAATCTGATTTTTATTATATATATATATATATATACAATATATATAGCTTATATATACAATATATATAGCTTACACAAAAATGTATATTCTATATATTAAATATTTTTTTATCATGGAAGCTAAAATGACGAGAAATCTTAATATTTACCAAATTAACGATTCATTTGCAATATTTTGTGAACTTGGTAAAATATGGTCAAGATAGATATTCCAAGTAATTTTGAATCTTAATAATTGAAACCCATATTAGTATGATATCAATTGACACTGAGCTGTTTACAAATTTGAATACTGTAAAATATTTGATTTTCGCTTGGAATATATTTTCACTATTTTCACTGAAGGAATGACTCAGTGAAAATAAAATCTAGTGAATATACCTTTTTGCTATATATTTTACATTCAACTTGTCAAAAATCAGTGAAAATAAATTTCATACAAAACACCCCAAAAGTCTTTTCAGCGAAAAATAATTCCAGTTAAAATAAAGTATTTTACAGTTAATCACATTTTTTTATTTACCTAAATTTATAACATGAAATTTATAGACGGGGAGTTCATAATAGAGCATACATATTGTTTTGTTCCTGAATGTAAGCCAATTTAGTAGCAGTACTTGACCATATCATGTAATAACTTTGTTCTTTTGGAAATTTTTTTACAGCATTACCCTATGTACTTAATAACTTATCAGCAAATTACTGTTTGGTCATTGATTCAAAATCAGGTAATGATTGTCAAGGTAATATGCTTTTTTTGGCATCACAAAAAAGATTTTTTTTTTTTAATTTGTATATATACAAGGCAGCAAATATCAGTATTAATAAAAATGATTATATTTATATTAACAATGTGTATAGATTTCGCAGATACAAGAAGTAATAAAAATACCTTTTATGTTATTACCAATACTTTACTTACTATACTTATTCCATTTGTGGTCATTGTTCATTGTGTTAAAGTGTTTTGTTTGTTCCTGTTATACAATCTTTTCCCTGTTCTTATGACTTTTATTTCTTGTCAGGCCCTATACCATGTATTTTCTAGGTCACCTGGTTCATATTCCAAGCCCTGAACCATGTATTCTTTGGATCACCTGGTTCATATTCCAGGCCCTGGACCATGTATTCTTTTGGATCACCTGGTTAATATTCCAGGCCCTGTACCATGTATTTATTGGTTCACCTGGTTCATGTTCCAGGCCCTGTACTATGTATTTATTGGATCACCTGGTTCATATTCCAGGCCCTGTACCATGTATTTATTGGTTCACCTGGTTCATATTCAAGGCCCTGTACCATGTATTTATTGGATCACCTGGTTCATATTCCAGGCCCTGTATCATGTATTCAAACCCCAGGTTACCTTTTCATTACAATTCACACAACAGACTAATATACAAGATTTATACAAAATTATTTATTCTATCTCAAGTACATACTTCTATAAATACAAAGAAATACTCTGTCTCTTAAAAAATGTTACACTAGTACAGCAAGCTTCGTTTGATAATTTCAAGATTAGATATAATGCATGAAAAGCTTTGTTATGTTTTGGCAATTGAAAATGCCTTTCAACTATACACTAAGCAAGTACGAAGCATAGGTATGACTCACGCTTGCTTTCTTTTTGACAAGCTGCTGACATGAAGCTTCAGTCATCATTCCACGTCATGTTTAATGTGGGTTCCAGGCGATGCATACAACACGTGTGAAATACATTGTTTACAGAGGGTTCGTCACCTGTCTACGTGCGAAAATTGAGTCCTAAGCGATGGTAACAATGCAGGCTAATAATGCAAAGGCTCATGGGTAGATGTTTATTTGTAAACAATGGTTCCTTAGCTTTAAATGGGTTTTCTAGTTTCCAAGTTATGACTGATGACGAGTGCAGCGTGTGTTTAAATATTAAAACAATGAATTATATGTTGTATACATCGCATGAGACCAAAACATACATGCTGCATCACAATGTTGTTAATTCTGGCAATGTTGTTAATTATGCAAAATAATAAATTAACATGCGCGAACATGCTTAAGTTTTTTGTTAGCTAGATTCATGTGGTGTATATTAATAATGTGAAATGTTATGCATGTCAATACATAGCTGTGGGTCTATATCTCTTCTTGTGTCAGTCTTTAGTCTTTGCTGATACAAATCATTTTTGTTTTGTGATATAAAGAAATGATGTACTTTTATTTGCGATGCCATTTGGCAATAAACATTTGTGTTATGCAAGTATATGTCAATAAAATTCTAAAATCTAAAAACAACAAATTTAAGGACACCAAATGTATCAGAAATGACTATATAAATACTATCACAAAAACTAAGGACCAAAAAAAGACACAAAAAAGCTAAAAACACAAAAAACTATGGACCCACAACTAGACATGACAAGGAAATTCATAGAATTATCCTGCCTTTGACTATTATTTTGAAACATTCTATCTTAAGTTTGAATACATGTATAAATACACCCTGTGGTGGATATGTCTGTTGAGATCTTGTGTGTCTATGTTGTAGTGCTTTGCCTTGTCAACTTATGGTTCATTGGAAAATTAGGCTGCAGAATCTCAAGATTTCGCACAATTTTTTTTTTTAAACTTTTAGACTTTCTTTACTTTAACCCCTTCTACGTCATTTTTCTGACCAAAATTTTTGTTGCAACATTTTGCACATTTAAAATTTCTTTCTTAAATTAAGACCAAATGGGCATTACATTATCCCATTGCATACCCACGTCTTAACCTTTTCAACATCACCCTCTTTTCATAGCAAATTTACAAAATAGTCCCGTTTATAGTCTGAACTTTCCTGCAGAAGAATGGGACAAAAATAGCCAAATTTTTGGAGGAAAGACTGAAAATTGACTCAAATTTTGTCTGTTGGCTCGAAAATTAGGGTTCATTTCCAAAAATATTTAAGAATGTAAGAAGAAAGTGCAAAGAAAAAATCTTTGTTATTTTTTGATACGTTCCACACCAGAAATTTCTAAAATGTACTCTAGAGAAAATGGCTCTAATTTCCTCTAAGGTTTACTGAGAGATGAAATGAATGCATAACATACGAATGCACTTGCAGAATTTTTACAAATATAAACAAAAAATGTAGATAAAAAAACGCACCCAGTGCAAGTATTTTAGCGCCCAAATCAACTGTCATCACCAATCACAAAATAAATTGTTACATATTGTTACAGATTTTTCTAAAATTTTGATCTGTAGCTAGACCTGTAGCTAATAAAAACTTATAACCATTTGGTCCAAACAATTGTAGAAAAGTACTGTTGAAATAGCTGCATGCAATTTTAGCGAATTTGACACTTGGCATGAATTAACAGAATCTTAATTTAATAGCTAAAGTGTCGACTATCTCATTGTGAGAATATACTTTCTGTTAAATTAGCTACATCTTGAATTAGCGAAATTACAGATTAGCTATATTAGCTAAAATAACATGCTAGCTAAAAGACATGTTTTACAGTAGTTAAAAATTAGCCAAAATGTTGAACGAAAATTTTAGAAGAAAATTACGGCTTCCAAAGGTTAATAAATCTTACACTGTCACAAAACCACATTTTATGTGTAATAAAAAATCTATGATGAATGAAATAATACCATCATATATATATATATATATATGAATATAAGAAAACACTAACAGTTTCTATCGATGTAAATCTATCATACAGAAGTGCTATATGAAACAAAGTTTATAATTAAATCTTCTTAAAATTATTTCAGTTATTGTGCTCGCAGCTTTCTATTAAAAAAAATGTATCTTTGAATAATACATATAATTGTTTTAAAAACTATTTCTGGAAATGAGTAGAAATTGCCTATAGATGAAAACACACATTAAACTCACACTTTGAGGGGAAACGATGTGCTAGAAGTATAATATTAAAGATGCCATACAAAATTTAAAATGACTTGTGAATAATGATACAGATATGGTTGTAAATTTATTAAAATAGGATGAGCAAAATTTTGTTCCAGATATAATCGAAAAAGAATTACCGTAAAATCTGTATTAGAAGCTGAAGCCACACCAATTCTTCCTGAATAATTGAAAACCAAAAATTCATCATTTCTCATATGTGTAGATGCTCTAATAGAAGCCCAGCCCCTCGTTGCATTGTACCATTTTAATAGAAGTCACAGCTTCTAATACAGATTTTACAGTACTGTCGTAAGGAACTCAATAATAAACATTTCACATTAACATTTGATGAAATATACTGTATTAAACTGACTTAGTGCCAACGTCCGATTACTTCTATATTGGGTCAAGTTGACCTAAGCACCCACTTCATTCTAAACGCCTGAAATCCTTCATGTCATGAAACTAATTCACTCGATATCATTTTGATAATTGTTTAACTTTTACAAACAATAAAAGTACTGTAAATTCGAACAACAAAACAATGTTTGTTTTTAGCAAATGCGATGTTTGTCGATTAATTTGATCATGAAAATAATCGACACAGTGCAAAGGTAAATACAGTAATATCATGCAGGGAAAAACAACACCTTCATATTTTCAGTTTGCTTACTAGTATATTCATTGTCTGAATTTGTTGGTGGGGGCAACGAAATGCACCGAAATTGTGGCGTTTTTGTGCGACAGTTCAAGATTTGCAGAAACCACTGGGTAGGTTCTATGTTCCATCTCTAATACAATCAGCAAATAATCTGAAAGTAAGTCACTTTTGTCCCAGAATTCACAGTTTATAAGGCATCTCTTGACAACAATCACAACATTTTTTGATGGGTGCTTACGCTTAGTACCCATCCCTTAAAAACCAAAACTTTTTGAGTTAATATCGCTGCGAGATAAGTCAGTCAAATACAGTGCATTTAATTTGGGGGGGGGGCATGGATTTAAAAAGGAAGTCAGCACTTCAATAGTTTTACATGTAGTTTGTATACAGTAGATCAGACTCTACTTTAAAATTATATTAATTTATACAGGCAGAGCTTAGCTTCTAAAATAATGTTTACATGAGACGAAGTTTCCAAATGTTTCTTTTCAGTTACTATGAGAATCCCCTCATATCAGCAGAACAGGTACTGTGGAATACTTTATTTTCGCTGGAATTAATTTTCGCTGAAAAGGCTTTTTGGGCGTTTTGCTTGGAATTTATTTTCACTGATTTTTGATGAGTTTAATGTGAAATATAGGAAAAAAAGTATATTCGCTGGATTTTATTTTCACGGAATCATCCCTTCAGCGAAAATAGCGAAAATAAATTCCAAGCGAAAATTAAGTATTCTACAGTATTCATTTTTATCTGTACTTCCTCCTCATTGGTTGATTGTACTTCCTCCTCATTGGTTGATTGTACTTCCTCCTCATTGGTTGATTGTACTTCCTCCTCATTGGTTGATTGAACTCCTGTTCATGGGCTTCTAATCAACCACATCTTTCATTATACTCTCGTCTGTGCATGTTGTTCTATCAAACATACCTCATCAAAATGCAATTTTAAAAATGTGATGGTGCTCTACTATTAAAAATAACACAATCTCAATGGGAAAAACAAAAAATGCTACTCCATAAACAGATTTTTTTTCGAAAAGTAAACTTTCTCACTAGCGTTCTAATCAAGTTTTGCCATCTCACTGGTATATATACCAATACTTTCCATGTCATATAGGACAAAATAGATTTGTTTAAGAGATGATGCCATAACACTCACAAAGTAATTCTGAATTGCCCTGACGATAGTTTGTGCTGCTGCTTGTTTTGGAAATCCACCCCTGAAAAATATCAAAGAGATGAATCATTTTAGATGTATTTCAAACTAAATATCCAGAACTTACTCTCCACTTCCAATAGATGGAACAGCCACTGATATATTTCAAACTAAATATCCGGAACTTACCGTCCACTTCCAATAGATGGAATAGCCACTGATGTTAAATTTTTTTCATCAGCTAAGGACAAGATATTCTTGACTGCTTTCTCAAGATTTGGAATGGAACTGGCATTACCCCATCCTGGGCTGTTTACGTGCACCACATACTTAGCCGGAAAGTTATGACCAGGACAAATTGCAGCTGGAAATAAAGAAAAAAAAAAGGTTTAGTTAATTTTGAAGTGGATTTGCCCTGCAGCCTTGTGGAGAATTTTATTTTATATTTACTGGTATGTTAGATATCTGTATCATTTCTCCCTGAAAACAGCATACAAAAAATACTGAAAATGCACTTCACGCCACACTTGATCAGCCTGAATACACAGAAAGGCAGGCATACCATATTTGTTCTATTAGAAGCACATCTCAAATAGAAGCGCATAGAAACCAAACATTGTGTTTGTTATACCGGTACTGTAAAAACAATAATTTTTCACTGGTTTTTAATTTCACGTTTTTCACAAATGAAAAAAAAATGCTGAATTAAATCCACCAGAACCTGTAAAATAACAATGGAACTGATTGTTTTTTGTCAAGTGAACTGAAAAACCAATGAAATTGCTCAAAACATCAAAATAGTGCCAGTGAAAGTAAATTGCTTTACTGTATACCATATTTAATTTAAAATAGAAATTATTTTGACCATAGATCTGTAACTTACATAAGCACATACCATGGATATGGATACTATGAATGAGATATTATTGATCTCGTAAGTGAAATGTCTGGTCATCACGAGTATGTGGTAAGCATACCAGGGCCAGAAATTAATATTTCTAAAGCACACTGAGAATTCAGTGAAAATTAACCTAAAAAGGTCTGAACTAATTTGCATAAAAAGAAGATGAATTTGAATTAATGTTTGAAGGGGGACAAGTGGTACAGGATACAGGAAATAAAAAAAGCATTTTACATTTTAACAGGAAATGAATTGAAAGTTTCATTTACAGTAAAAAATAGGTTTTTACACTTTATGGAAAAAGCAAATTCCTAATTATTTATTTAAATTACATTATTATGAAAATAAAAACAATTGATCACAGTTTACGAAAATACCTGCTTGCCGACCCTCATGTTTGTGTACATTTACATCATTTTGTTGCAAGTTGTGGTTTTATGGTATTCAAAGTGTAAGATTAAGTGGATTAATTTTTTCTGGGGTAATTTTATATTTTTTTTTATTCTTTGATTGCACGATGATGTCACTTCCATTGTTAGTTATCTACTCAAGTAAATATGTTGCTCCTATCTAAAATGTAATATGCGACATCTCCATTCATTACAAGAAACACTTGCAGGACAACAGACATCGACAACAAAAGATGAACCCACCTGATTCACTAAATTTACATATATTGAATAAAGTAGCAAGAAAGCAATTGACATAAAGCTAATCAGCTGACTTCCTAATCTTTTCACCACCACTTCCCTCTTTTCATCACAAATTCACAAAATAGTCTGCATTTTCCTTCAGAAGATTTTTTGAGTGAAAATTGACTCAAATTTTGTCTGTTGGCTTCACAATTAGGGTGCATTTCTAGAAATATTGAAGAATATAAAAAGTGCAGAAAAGTTTGGGCGAGAAAGTCTGGTGGTGAAAAGGCTAAAAATAAATTTAATATCAGGTTTAAGATGAAGGCATTTTTAAAATCTCTCAATTCTTACCACCAGCTGTATCTAGAGCGCCGTGGTTCTTGTAGAGATCTTGAACTTCCTGTTGGAAATCTTTTCCTCCGACTTTCTCTAACTGTGAACCTTTAAAAAGATTAAAAACAAACATTATTATGTTAAAGCATACTAAAATATGACTTAAAAGATACTACCATATTTGTCTGAGGGTACTTGACTTCAGCTCAGAAAATCATGTGTTTTAGGGGGTCCTAATAGCCAAGTACTTCCTAAAACAAGTATGCAAAAGACAATTTTAGTTTACTACATGCCAGAGTGAGGGGAATATTACGTCTCTCTTGGGAAAATAAAATTAAGAAATTAGTTGTGTCATCATTGATTGAAATACTACAATGTAGAAACAAAAATGCCCACAAACTTTACACAAATTTTATTACAATACACAGAGGACAGTCAAACTTTTCTTCTTTATTGTCAAATGCGTTTGATCGAACACAAACTTTTGATACAAAACAATTTTGGCCAAGATTTGACTGATTTGACCTGCAACAACGTCATTTGACCTGATAGGTCAAGTCTGTTATTAACCAATCAGAATGCTGTGTTGTAACAATAATAATTAATCTCTGATAATTCCCAAAGGCATTGTGATAACACAAAACGGAAGTGAAATATAGATGTCAAAGTATGATATGTTGAAAATGATTTCCTGCAAAAAAAAACAGCATGATTTTTTATTTGCAATTTTTTGAAAAACTAAATATGGAATGAATAATTTTATTGCCTTTCACCATTGTAAACATGTCATTATCAATAGTGTAGTATGTACACGGTTAACATGGTTTGTACAATTACAACATTTTCAAAATGGTTGATATCCACACTGTATTATATAAAAACCAGTCACGTTGTATGACTAGACAGTCAAACTTTGAGCATTTTGGAAATGTACCCTTAGCTGAACATGACCCAGAAAACAGAATTAAATATCCAATTAAATTATATAGTCAGAATGCATTACAAGTCTCACATCATGTACAAGGGGGAAGGTTTCTTGACTGAAAGTTAGGTATATGCATGCTTGAACAAAACAACATGTGATTAAAGTTGAGTATTTTGGTCGAAAATATTACAGGTTTAGTGTAAATAGTAGTGTTCGGATATCTGACGTACTCCACAGAAAAACACCTCTTTTTAGGCCTCTCAATAGCAGAAATGATGTAACTGAGGATAAGGTGGTTATTTATTCTATCTGACAAAACACGCTTAGGGGTAAAATTCAAGCACCATTTTCAAGTTTGGGTACCCACTCACCGCAAACAACTCCCTCCAAATGTAAATTGAAATGGATTCCACTGCAGTGATAGAATATTTGACTGCTAGTTTTTGATCTTTTATGCAACATCACAACAATATATGCAGATTTTATAGTTAGCAGTGAATCTATCAGAGGATTATGGGTAATAACTTGAATTACTTACCCACTTCACCACCCATGTAGAAGGATGAGTTTGTGGGATGAACGATGGCATCAGCTACCAGCGTTGCAATATCACCTTGCACGACTGTCATCTAAAAATACAAAGCAATAGTGCCTTGATAAGTCAAAATAATGCTACTGTGCAATACGTTGGAATATAGACCCTGTATATAACCCCTTCATATACATACCTTTTTTATTAATTATACATTTTTTTATTAGTTTCTGTATAATTCAAATTATACGTGTATAAACTCATTTTATACAACTGGATACAGAGGTGCTAAATATAACAATTTTTATTCTTAATTAATTTAGGTGATTTTCGTTCAACTGCGTGATCTTGCGTATTCCATGAAAGATGTGGGTCGAACGTTGAAAAGCTGATCCTTGAAAAGGCAATATTGCGTTTAGATATTCTTACTTCATCAAAATTGACCATCATCAAATGTACATATAGTACATTAATCAAACATGGAAATACCCCCTAAAATACTTTTGCGTTTGTCAAATCCCACGCGATGTTTGACGCCACTACAATGCTATGTCCTTTGTTTGTCCTGTTTTTACGTTCTATATCATGCAGGATATCGCAGTGAACGAAAAATTCCCTCACTCTTTTATTGCTTACTTTTTGTCCTAAAAAAAGTTTTTTCTCTGATAAAATTGTCACACCACCAATTCCTTTTTTGCCGCCTGTATTCGCTGTAGCCGCAGTCTGAAAAAAAACACAAAGAATCATGTCCATAAACCAGATATCTACTACTGCATAGATCAAATGACAACCTGATATGAAATGTTTGTCATATACATGTATACCTTAGCAGCCAGGGTCGTATTCTACAGGTGGAGTCGAGAAGGTTACTACATTATTTGATGTAGTATTAATGGACTGAAAGGACGTGCCACGTCCTGTTCGATATGGGACTCATAGCGTTGTATACAACGCTTGTAAAATACATTGTTTATTTACATAAAATTCGAACATGCGCTGCGCGACAACCACCGCACTTTAAGCTAATGACTCGCTAATAATTTGGGAACTATATAAAAAAATGTTAGATAACTAAACGTACAAAACAATATTGGATTAGACTTTAGACTCGTCGTGTAGTGCATGATCGAATTTCATGTAAACATGCATTTCATATGCCACTATCGAACAGGACGCGGAGCTATGACCACTGCCCTTTAAATCATAATCATTACCTGTTTGCCTTTCCCTTTGCCTTTTCCTGCCTTCAAAACTTTTTTGGGGGGAAGTGCAGTAGCTTTTCCTTTACTAAGTCCAGGTTTTTTTGGGCTTAGTGCTACTACTGGTGTTTTCTTACTATGTAAGGCACCGACGTTAAGTTTTGGTTTCTTCAATGGTGGTGGAGTTGATGGTTCATAAAACATTTTGCTCTTAGCACCTCTTTTTTTCGCTAGTAATTCTGGGTGGATTTTAGGTATCACTCCACCAGCTGCTATTGTCACATGTCGAAGAAGCTGTGTATATAGTTAAAAAAAGTTACCGGTATAAAGCATGTAATAACAGTGAATTACAGTCCTACTCCATATCATTCAAGTAAAGCACTGCGGCCCTTGATGCAGTGTTGCAATTACAAGTGGTGACGAAAAGTGGCCCCAATGGAGTGTTAATTTTTGTAATCGTTAAAATAAATTTTCAGGCGATACAGTTGGTGACCCTAGACTCCAAAAATGTATGTGTAGTACAATTGCGCCATCTTAAAAATGGCTAATCCTGAAGCAAACCCATATTTCATTCCAGATATCCTGATCATGAAATCTGCTTCAACAAATGAAATTGAAACAGTTTGAGAGACTAGCGATACTAAAAGTCAAAAATTTGTAATGGAACTCAATGTTTTTGTTCTTCTGTGTCTGATACAACACTGATATAAACAGTTACTTAGGTGCATCAAGATTGATCAAGACAAATATTATCGTCGGACTGATTATAGAATATAAATTTATTGACTCATTGAAACAGCCTTTACTGGCCCATAATGGACACTACAGTATTCATGTCATTACACTATATACATATACAATATTTATTCTATTAGAAGTGCATGCAAATACATTGTACTGTGAAATACTTTATTTTAGCTGGAATTAATTTTCGCTGAAAAGACTTTTTGGGTGTTTTGTATGGAATTTATTTTCACTGATTTTTGGCGAGTTGAATGTAAAATATAGGGAAAAAAGTATATTCACTGGATTTTATTTTCACTGAATCATTACTTCAGCAAAAATAGCGAAAATTAATTTCAAACGAAAATAAAGTATTTTACAGTAAACAGTTGCATGTGTTACATACTGGATCAGTAATAATATGATTTATTTTGACCTAGACATGTCTGTCATTCACATTTGTGCTGTTAATAAAGGAAATATTGTGCATCATACCTGGTGCAGTTCTTCATCGTTAGCTACAGCCAGCAAGATATGACGTGGTGTCACCCTGCACTTTTTGTTATCTCTGGCTGCATTCCCTGCCAATTCTAATATTTCAGCTACAAAAAAAAATAAAGAGATAATTTTTGTTTCAAAAATTTAAACCACTGTACTGAAAAAAAATTACACACTAATTTGCATACATTTGCATGTTATTTGCATAATTATTCAAAACAGAAATTGTGATAATTAACCTACTCAGTTACACAATGCACTAAATTATTGACTTACAAAATAGTTATTTCTTCACGAGTGTTTATACAACTACACAAAAGTTGTAAGTTTTCAGCAAATTAGCAATTTGATTCAAAAAGTGTACATTTTTTTCATCCAAAAAAATACCCAAATAACAATTATTATTATACATCCGTCACCGTAACGCTATATAGGTTACAGCGTGCCATAATTTTGTGATATTTTATGGGGTATTTTCATCCTATCATATTATGCAAGGTCAGGAGAGTAAGGGGGATGGGAGAGGATCTCATAGCCACAGTTGTGGACTGGGGAGTTGTCCTGCAGGAGGAGGATACCTTTGCTGAAATTGCCCTGCCTCTTGATTTTAATAGCTTCTCTTAATTTCATCAAAAGTGAAGCGTAATAGGCTCCTGTAATTGTGGTACCCTTAGCCAGGAAATCTGTCATCACTACTCCGTCCTGGTCTCTGAAGACTGTGAGCATGACCTTGCTAGCAGAGGGCTGCACCCTTGCCTTCTTTGAAGGTGGTGAGTCCAAGTGCTTCCACTGCATTGACTGGGCTTTGGTCTCTGGATCATAGTGATGGACCCAAGTTTCATCCTGTGTAATCAGTCTTTTGAAAAACTTTGACTCATCTCGTTGGCACATCTCCGAATTCATCCTCGAGCACAACAAAGGTGTGAGCAACCTGGGAATCTATCTGGCAGACACTTTATGCATATGCAAATGGCCATGAATGTTAGTTTCCACAGACCCTGTACTAATCTTGACCTCTTGGGCTATTTGGCGAACAGTAATGCGTCGATCTTTCAAAATGGCTGCCTTAACTTGACGGACAGATGCCTCATCAATGGCAGAAGAGGGTCGACCAGGTCTGGAAGCTGTTTCCACAGACTTTCGGCCATGTTTGAATTCACGATGCCAGCGTTTTACAAGGTCATATGATGGGGCATCTTCACCATAAGTTTCTTTCATTTCATCAAATCTCTCCTTTGGTGTGCGTATATACTTTCAAATACAAAAAACGGATCACTGTGCAACACTCAACTGGCTCCATTTCACACCTGACTCAGTTCAAACACCTCTAAATCAGACACCACAATTAGTTCAGAGCTGTTTTTGCAACATAACCCATAGAGATGTAAATCATTACAGATGCAAAATTTCATCTAGATCAGACAACTGGAAGTGGGTCAGGGGCATTACTTATTGAACGCCTCTCGTATTTTTGTTATATACTGTCAGCATCCTTTATTTTATGTTTTTTATATATTACCTCAAACCCTGCAAATAGAAGTGTGCATGGAATCATGGGAAAAAACGGTGTGCATTGCCATGTGATAACTCTCATAAAGGAGATTAACAGTTCATACTTGTGTACCACTCTGGAAGGACAGTTGGAATCTACCAGGTGTGCTTGTGATTTACATAACAAAGAATATTTATGATCTACTGATTTGCCTACGTGAAACAGCTGCTAGCAAGATCACATTCTGATTGGCTCATGTGGAAACCCAGGTGGTGTCACTGAATCTGGGCCATTTATGCCTATAAATTGGACAGACTGAGGACAGTTGGGATCCATCATTTGTACTGTGTATCCTGTGTGTAGCTACTGCGATATTGTGAGACAAGTGATACAGGCTACAACCATCATTCTGTGAGACTTATATGAACTGCTCAGCTATCTCCTACTTTCAGCGGCACCCTCCAGAATACCAGCATTCCTCTACAAGCAAAACTTCAGGATCTCTTCGTTGATGTGTTGCAGAAGTTGTTGACTGTCATCCATTTCTACATCCTGGAAATGTGAGTCATCACCAATGCACACTTCCCTAAGCAATCCCCTATTTTAGTGAATTTATTCATTGTATTTTCTGTGCTTTGTTTTTTGTAATTATTTTAAGAGGTACGTATTAAAGACAGGAGCTTTAACTTGATATTTCGGTGTGTGTGTGTGTGTGTATTTCATTTCCAGTACTATTGTCTTGTCTACCCCATTCTAGCAGTAAAAGAACCCCCTGTCCAGTGTGAGTTCTGTGGATGCCCCTCTCAATAGTAATAAGCAGGCCTTACACTGTGACACATGCATGTTTGTGACTTGTCATATATTACAAGAATGATGAAGCCTAATGAAATAAAAACAGAACAGTGAGGTGACAGTATTCATTTGAAAAAAATAATGTACAACATGGGGTAAAAGTACAATGTACTATGTTTTAAGAAGGGGGCAATGGGGAGGATAGCTGGTACAGGTTACAGGAAATAAAAAAGGCATTTTACGTTTTTAGAGGAAATAAAATGAAAGTTCTATTCACAGTGAAAAATAGGTTTTTACACTTTACAGATAAAGCAAATTCCTAAATTAAATTATAAATTTTTATAATATATTTGAAAATTCCTGTTCAAGATCGAAATTGCAAATTGCATATGATTTACGATGTATATCATTGGTTGATGAAATAGTGGGTTTTGACGAAAAATACGGTCCTAATTCTAAATTAATCATAGATATTCTGTTGTCATAGCGATATGCACTAACTTATATGCAAATGAGTAGCAGTCTACTTCAACCATCATGCATATATGCATTTCATTAAAAAAAAGGCATACTGGGTCAGGATTTTCTTGTGAATATGGGGCTCATATCACAAATCCACAATTTTGCAGACATCTGATCAAAGCATTCAACTTTGAAATACACATATACCAGCAATGAATGTTCAGGTAGAAACACGTGATAATGTGCAATCAATGCAGACTGATATTGACTAAGTATGCCTATTAGACACTGCTACATGTACACTGCTACATATTGTTCCGAACAGCAACATAGCCAGCCAAGTTGCTGACTGGTTTGCTATTCATACCTGGAGATCTGGATCGTTATGCAATAGGTGATTTTCCGAACAATTGCGAGATCTCGCGAGATGCATGAAAGACGCGCGTCGAACGTCTGCTGCAAAAATCGAACGATTTGATTTTGAACTAGAATTTCTTTATTTCGCAGCTTACATTGACCGGCCGATCTTCGACAGAGGAATATTGCTTCCGAATACCCTCACTTAATTGAAATTGCCTATCATCAAATGTGGACAGCACATTATTAAGCATGGAAATGTCCCCGAAATACTTGCACGTTTGTCGAATCTCACGTGATGTTTGACGCGACTACGACGCTATGACCTTTGTTTGTCCTGTTTTTACGTTCGATTTCACGCATAACGCGTGATTCTCGCAGTGTACGGAAAATGGTCTATTAGAACAAGTTGGGTCACACTAACCTTAACAAGGGATGTCAAACTAACAGTGGGGAACTCTGACACGGTGAATATAAATAAAATCACTTTCAATTTAATTTCATTTAATTATCCAAAAGTTATCCAAAAACATATTTGTACTGCCACAGTCTGAAATGTCAGGACACAGTCTCCACTGTGTCTTGTGCGTGCGTTAAAGCTCGTGAATGCGCTTTAGCTGAATGGCACACCCTCGTAAAAATGGTTTGAACTAACCAGTTCTAATCAGGTAACGATCTTGGGACACACACTGCGAAACAGTCAGCAACTTAGCTGGCAGTGTTGCTGTTTTTGTGTTCGGAACAATATGGCGGTGATAGTAATTGCAGACACATATTTTTCTATGATTATTGTCACAATTGCTGAATAATGTGCATGTTTATTGCAGCATAGCGTTCAAATCGAACATGTGACGTCATCAATGTGTTCGTCCCTGTCACTCACCGGGCACGTCGTCTGTTTCGTAAATTGAAGTAAATGCAAAGAATTACAACTACAAAATAGAACCTTGTACTTTTTTTGCTTGTTTATGTGCGGAAATAATGTATGGGCGGTACTTAGCTAGTTCATTGAAATATACTAGCATTGTTGTCGATTTTGTCATGAATCTCGCCCATCTATGTGTATGCATCTATATTTTTTATGCAACCTTTTGTGGTGAGCGTTGTTTCAGATGAATAGAGTATTAATAGCTAAGATACAAATCTAAGAAACAACAATATTCCAAAGCTGCATATTACTGGTTAGTAATTATTTGGGGGCAGTGTCGCATACGACTTATTTACCACTTCCGTGTCACTGAGAATGTTCTAGAACCGTACTGTGTCTGGGTGGAATATTCTAGTTTTTTTTTTAGAGACTGGTTGAATAGGTAATAGAACACTGTAGGAAGCAATAGGAGGTAATGGAACATTCTAGAAATTTGTAGTAAGTGCCAGACTCATTATGTATGCTGACGTAATGGTCAATTTATAGACAGTGTGGGTATATATAGGGGAGTTGTTCAGCACCGAGTTCAGATCGAAGATCTTGTTGAATTGTATTGGAGTTTAAGTATCTAGTCATTGGAGTAGTGGAGTTTTACCGCGTTATTGTACTTGATGTTTGCAGAGTATAATAATACCAGTACCAGTTGAAACCTCATCTGTTGGCTCCGTGTTCGTATGTTATCATCGCCGCCAGGGAAGTCTTTATGTTACTGTTGCCATTTTGGTATTTGAACCATCACACCTGTACTATACCAATTACGGTAATATTATGTTGCGTGTGACAGGCAGAAACGAGCAGATGTTGTAAGTATACCAGCAAGCAGACCAGATTGAAACTAAAAAAATTCAAAAATTATTATTTTATCATTTTGTATATTCACGGGACATGCACCTTCTGCATAAACTTAAAACTAATAAAGCATGTCTTGGTTTTATTTTGACAACTTGACAGTTTAAGTGAAAACAAAAGGTACACTGAAACTGTAATTCTGACTCTTCTGATTATATAACAAATATAATAACACAGATGGGAAAGAATTATCCATTATCCAAAATATTGTTACAGAAGGAAGCTTTTAGCAGATAAAATCACTTTTAGGTACAAACTCTCTGTGCGCTAAAGACATTCCCTTCATCTTTATAAATATTTACAAGTTTCCCAATTCAAATTGAAACTAGATGTTTTAATTGGCTTATTGAATAACATTGAAACTTTTTCCAATGATGCCGTTAGAGCACTGTGTTTGATGTTTGAATTCAAACACTATTGAAATTTATGAATATTTATAAAGATAAAGAGAATGCCTTTGTTGCGCTGAGAGTAATATGTTATTCCAAACACAACTGTAGGCTGAATAATCAAGATACATGTACATAGGTTTAACATAAGAAGATTATTCAAGATCAATGTCATCACAAACATGAAGTATCAAACTGTCAGCTGCTTTATTATTCAAGACATCACTGCTGGCCTTATGGCCTTATGCTAATTTCTTCCAGATTAACAATCTATCCCAGCATGCAACATGATTGCAATAATCATACAAATATGCTAAAATAGAGGGTTTCCTTCTCCTTAGTTTAAACAAACAAGTTGGTTACCCAGTATTTTCTCATATGCAAATTAAGAGAAAATGCATTCATTATTTTTTGTTAATTTGTGTCTAAAAATATTGACTTGTAAGTAATACGAGTCAAATGAAATATGATTGTTTGTAAATCATCGCGTGCCACGTGAAGCTCAGAAATAAGGCGCTCATGAATATTCAAAAGCAGCATGATGACGAACATGACCTAACGACAATCCCAAAGGTCAGCAACGCGAAACAAGAGTGTAGCCACAAAATTAGACAAAGACAGTCGAGCCTGGACGAAGCTACGTTTTCAGTCCCAAGTTCTGCTTCCAAATATGAACACCGTTGTGACTGACTATTTGCTTTTCTCTTTCGTAAGGGCACTCCCATGCGTTTCGACTAAACTAGTATGTTATGATTCGCCATTTTTAAATGCCTCTGAAGTCTGCATACAATAACGCATGGTATTCATGCTTTTGTGTATCCGACGGTTTTTTTGTACTATTACACTACTAACCTGTCAAATACTCGATCACTGCTGCAGTGTACACAGGCGCTCCAGAACCGATCCGAAAATGATGTGTGCTTCGTCTCAGGTACCGACCTAAACGACCAACAGGAAACAGCACGCCGGCCCTGGCTGATTTTGAAGTTGGCTTGCTACGTTTTTTACCTCCACGTGCAGACATCTTGTAGAACTGACGTATACTTAGGTATGACTAGGTTACCCTCTTGTCGACTGCTTAAAACGCTGAGTAATTAGGTGGGAGGGTACGTATACGCAGCGCAACAACAAGCGAGGGATGCATTAGCTTAGGCTGTTATTTATGCATTTGCCACTCCTGTTTAAAACCTCTTTCTGAATATTAAATTTATTTCAAATTGAATACAACAATAATATATTAGAAAAATATAATGTGTAATGTGCATCGAGATTTTGTTCTTATAATTTCGGTGGTTTTTACAAATGGCTGAAACACAATTAATGGGGATTACATCTCGAAGTCCGGAGGGAGGGAAACTATAAAATGTAATTTCGGTGGCAGAGTGACACGATGTTAACTGGGGTCAAGCTACTGATCTTCCAATAAGAAGCGCACCTTTGAGGCGACCACGCCCACCCGTGCAGCCAAGCTTGGAACCTGTTTCTACGTGTTCGAGCGTCTTTTATTGTGGCATATGACGTCACAGGTTTCCCTGACATTGATCACGTTTGTCAAAGTGAAAGTAGACTAGCAACACGCAGTGACACATCCTATTCGAGGGGGTTTATTATTTAATTTATATTTTAAAAATAAATTGCATGGAAAAGGACTGTCGTACATTGGAACAGTTAGGGGTTAAACCACCCATTCGAAATGCAGGGTTGCTGGAGAAAATTATTATTTTTTTGAAAATATTATATTCATATATATATATATTTTTTTTACTTATAACCCCAAACATTTTTTTTTCTCATTTTTCATACAACTTGAATCCTCCCTCCAGCCTACAATTGTTTTGAACTGGTATTGCATATTGATATTTCCCCAATAAAAGTTCATATATACAGAATACAGAACCCTGAAATGCCAAAAAAAGTTGACGTTATATCAGAGGTACAATATCAGACCGAGCACAGTTGTCGTTATGCTGTCTGATCCTGGTCATTGTGCTATACGCTCCCCAGTAGTTGTACCCTCGAAGACTGTTCAAATCTTCGACAGCATTTTGATTTGTAGTGGTTCATACATTAAAATTATGTTTTTGAGAGATTTTACTATATATTATTTCTAGATGGCAAACGACTAAAAAAACAAACACATTTGTTAGCCTTCCTGTTATTTTGACGTCGCGGGAGCTCTCTGTCACTAGAGGGCACACTCCACAGTAAAGCAGACGTTGAGATGCAATACCAAAGCGGGGTCAATAGACAAAATTTAAGACAAACGACTGAATTCTTGTACACAATGATAACATCATCTTTCCAATCTATTTTGCTCGATGATGGAGCTGTAGTTATTAATTAATGATTATGTAAGCGTGTTCAGAAATAATCTATGTGAATACGCAGCGAACAATTCGTAATCAAATAAGCCTTTTTCTGGCAATTTATCGATAATTTGTGATGAAATTATGTCTTCTTTCTTTTTTTTTCTTTAATTCGGAGTTTATTTGAAACAAATTAACAAGGGCGGCAGTTCCGTTGATACATTTTGAAAAACTGTTTTTGATAAATACTGAAATGAACCAAATCGTCATGATAGAATGGAAATTGGCACTGAATGAAATGGTGAACGTCGGTGTCACAGATAAACTTCCGAACACGACGTGACGCAATGATGTAATCATTACGTCACTGTACTAGGTGAGATTCAGACTGAAAATAGCATACTATGAAATATAATTAATGTGTTGCGTTAGTTTTTTTTTCACCTCAGTGTTTCTTGCAATAAAAACTACATGTATGTTATGTTGTTCATGTTTTACAATTATTACATATAAATTTACATATACCTTTCATGGAGACTGACTTCAGTCGACGAATTATTTGTTCTTGATTAATGGTGGTGTACATGCAATTATCGTATGTATTCGCGTGTGTACCACCATTACGTCACCAATTTTGAGAATTTCCAATTTTCGCTTTTTTTTTAAATTTTGTAAACCATAACTATTCATCAATAAACATACCTGTGATGCATGCCAGTCTGTGTTATAAATTATAAATTGTGTGACAAATTGACAAATAGTAGGGAGTTATGCCAACTGCGAATTCAGATAACTCTCTCACAATCTTCTACAATCACAGTGGCATTTTAGATTAGTTGCTTGGTTGGCAGACATACACCACCATTGCCTGGTACCGCGTGAATCCGCTTGGGCCATGTGGGAAGGGGGGGGGCTCTTGTGATAAATGGGTTCCAATACATGCTTGATTTTCATGTGAATACTTAAAAAAAATTATATACTGTCAACTCTTTACGTTGACATTAATTCACACGATACATGTGAAACACTGACAATGCAGCACCTCAGTAAGTAGAACGACCATACAAAATACGCCTTGTACATGGAATAGGTAGGGGTAACCCAATTCAAACCTTAGGAGGGTGATGGAGGATATTGATCAATTGCAAACTTTTTCACATTACTGAGGAAGAGATTTTTGGAGCATGTCTAAAAAAAAATCCATATAAGAGGGTTTGTTTTTTAACTATCTTTCCCTTGATTATTGTTTTCCAAAATCCTCCAGCTTCCCCAGATTTCAAATACTAGTAGGTTACCCCTTATCACGACAAATCATGTTAATTATGAACACACTAAACGAACAATTGAAATTGAATTTACTTTTAATCATTATTGTTATTAACAAAGAAATACAATAAACTACAAATGTTTGTATGATTTTATCAAGTGCGATTTTCGCTTCATCATATATTTAAATCGTAGGCAATTCATTGTCAGTGTCTTGCACGCTGACGAGGTCTTTTTGTGAGCCCCGTTTCGGAGAGACTGTTCGTATACACGGCATTCAGATGTGTACGATGTAATGGCCTCGTTTTCATTGAAGGCAACAATTTTTTCACTTTCAGCATTTCTTGCGTCTGCACATTGGCTCTGTCCAACCGTCATTGCATGTTTTGTCACGTCATTGTACGTTTCAATGCTACCTTGCTGGGTCTGATAGCTTGCCATTAATGTGTCCAAATATATATCGTATCTTTGTTTGGGTATGATTCCGTCGTTTTTACTGGTATGGGTCGTTGTTCTCCCTTCAATATCTCCGAATCAAAGGGATTACCGGGGGATTTCATAACACCACTCAACAAACCCTTTTCGCCACATTGACCTCCATCAATATCTGCATCGTCACTTTCTAGTAGTGGATGATAACTTGCAAATAATGTGTTCAAATAAAAGTCATATCTTTGTTTAGGCGTGAGTCCGTGTTTTATTACTGGACTGGGATTTTGTTCTACCTTCATTAGCTCGCAATCAAACGGATTACCGGGAGATTTTATAACTCCGTTAAATAATCTGCTCGCATCATTGACATCTTCAAATTTACGTGATATAATTGTACCATCAATATCTGCATCGTCGTTTTCTGGTAGTGGATGTAAACTTGCCAGCAACGTGTCCAAATAAATGTCATATCTTTGTTTAGGTGCGAGTCCGTATTTTATTACTGGACTGTAATTTTGTCGCCCCTTCAACAGCTCTGAATCAAAGGGATTACCAGGAGATTTCATAATGACTCCGTTCAAATAGTAGACATCCGTACTTCCTCTGCCATACATGACACTTTCCCCCACTTGTAAGAAACCCATCTCAATATACTGCTGCACCCTGGGAAAATGAGGAAGATATATATATATATTAATTTGTCACTCAAAAATAGTGTCATCAACTGCTCTCTGTTAAAATGGTAAAATTGCGGTAATGGCAATTCATAGGAATCGTATTTTCACCCTGATCTCGAAAGACATAAAAGTTGGTAATCAACGAACCGTGAAATGTGTCTTAAATATAACCACATAGACCAAATGTCACTGAAACGCCTCTCGAGATGGCGATGTATTTGACGTGATTTCGCCCAGGGCCTCGGATAAGTTGTCATCTTTACCGTAATTCCTGAGATTCGCTTGTTAAAACTGATTTAAGTAGATGGCGCCCTCTGGAGGCCTGGGCGCAACCAAGCGACCTTCTTTTTTCACTTGTGATTTAATGTGCAAGTGAATTAAAGTAAAACGTCAATATATGTTATGTATATGTTATGCTTACAGTTTCCACATTTCGGCGATGACCGTTACAAATTGACACTAACGACACATGTTTTATTCAAAATAAAAATCGGAGAAAAAAGATCGAGCTCTTGTCGCTTTAATGAATGCATGTCGCCAACCAAAGGGAAGTGTTATAATTATCGTGACTGTCATTGTACCTCGCCACATTCATCACCCCATACCAGTGAACATATGCTCGTAATATTGCTAGGTTTTTGTATTAATATTTAGAAATAAAGATATGATAATATTACTCGTATTTTCTGCTGTATACACAACGACCTAGCAATGTTACCAAGCACCTGTGCACTAGTACGGAACTCGCGTATTGCCCGGGCGTATTGTTCATGTTGCGCATAATATGTAAAACATAGAACGAGATTTACTTACCCAACCATTAAATCAACTCGATACGAATCGTGATCGTCGTAAACCGGACAGGTAAACAACTTTATTGGTGGAAATTGACTCAAATCAGTATAAATATTGTTAGAAAGTGGTCCACACGATGCGTTCTCTTCGATTTGAGAGTAAACACTGAAACGTTCTATAACTCGTTGTCAATGGATGCAACGCGTTCGGAAAAGTCACGTGATCCGACGCCAAACGTTGCGCTGTTCTAGAATAGGCGACGTCATGCCACGCGTACTACGGTCATCTGACGCGTGATAGGTGAGACAATACCATTCGCTCATTATGTTTTGAAAATTTAGAAGAGCACAGTTTTATCATATTACTATGTTTGAATCTATGGTTCACTAATAATGACTAGGAATAATACAAGTTTACAAACAAAGAAGAAATAAATGTGCCACCACACATTTACATTTACTAGTATTTAGGGATAAAACTAAACCGTTAGATTTACGAGTACTTAAAGTGGGATAGAGTAATGTGTTCCCATTGATTCACTGATTGGGTGATCTGCTGTTTGTCAACGAATAGTTATTTGTATACTTTTAAATTTAGTTACATAAATACATTCCTCGATCAGATTATAAATAATTGCTATATTTAGTTTCATATTTATATATCTTTGTGTTAATTTAGTTTATACGTTTCAGTCTAAATATTCGCACTTCATAACTTTTGTTGTGTGTTGTCACTACTCAGACATCAATTTATTACTTCCTTCAATGTTCAAGGTTGTCTATCTACTCTACGAGTTGATTATATGCCCGTGTGCTGTCGTTTCCATAGCAGCCCTCACCACACAGGAGACGACCGGTCAGAAAAGTGGATTTCATAATGATTCTGAGTGCATCACCAATCGTGTGATATTACATACGTATGGATATTCTTATAAAAATAGAATTTAGAAATTTAGACTAAATAGACTAAATATTGTGAAGTTTTACATTCTTTTTTTTTTCAGCATTCTAAATCCGGGATATTATGTTTTTTTACAGGTGGAAGTTACTGGTATCCGAAAATATATACATGTATATATGTATACATGACTCTCTGTCACTAGAGGGCGCAGAATAATATAATGGGGTCGCTTGACAAATTTGAGGATGTATTTTGCTCAATGATGAAGCTGCATGTAGTTTTGTTTATGTAAACGATATCCCAAATAATGTGAATACCCAGCGAACCAATTCTCGATCAAATGTGTCTTTTTCTGTTAATTTATCGATAATTTGAGATGAAATTATGTCTTCTTTTCTCTAATTCGGAGTTTATTTGAAACAAACTTACTAGGGAACTGACGAGTTTTGATAATACTGAAATGAACCAAATCGCCATAAAAATGGAAATTGACACCGAATATTGAAATGGTGGACGTTAGTATCATAGATAAACTTCCGAACACGATGTGACGTAATGACGTAATCATTAGCTCCCTGTACTAGATGAGATCCAGACTGGAAGTATATTCTTCTCGTATCTTAGCAGAAAATGTAAATCATATGTATTTTTCTCATCTTGTTCTTGCAATAAAAACTATGTTGTTCATATTTTACAAATATGAATATTAATTTATGCGAATGAGACGATTATTTCCACTAATCGTGTTATGCAACACCCCCCTCCCCTGTATGAGAAGGAGATGTAGCGTGTATCGAAGTGTTCCAGAATTCGCAATGGATGCAGTTCACAATAACATTATATTACATGCACTTTAGATTAACCTGTGAACACACCCCAACAATCATGCTGATCTATGATTTGAGTGAGATACTAGTAGTACGACTCCCAACACGACAGTTGATTATTTGATCCTTATTTCTATTACGTGCATCTGGGTGACAAATTGCATAGTAGGCAGTTATGTCATTTCCAAACTTTAACTTGGATGGAAATTATATAAATTTAAATCCAACTGCGAATTCGGAGAACTCTCTTATGATTTCCTACAGGGATAAATCGACTCGTGCTCTCAACTTTGTGACATTCAAATACTTAGAGGGCGGTGGTCGTCGCGCTGCGCATATGCGATATTTGTGTTGATAAACATTGATTCTCTGATCCCGCAATCCAATGTGCTCTTCTAATGGAAATCACAAGTATGAGGTTTGACCTGGGCGCGACTTGCACTAATTACCACCGATGACTCCTTCGCATTATATCCATTATCTCGTACTTTGGTGTCGTTTTCATTACCATTTCACCACCAGTCTTCCTCGCTCTGTCCATGGTGCAATTCTTATCGTTGGACTTTAGGCTGATGGTAAAAGCAACAATGATGTTATATACCCTGAGGTTGGATATTCGGACCAGTATGATAGTTCTGGTTGATCAAGCTTGGGTTATTGGTGATGACAACTGACTGATGCACACATTTAACCATTTTGAGAGGGACAAGGAGGTTAATATTGCTACCATACAAAACATGGTATTTGAATGTTGCATCATTTTTTTAATTATGCCTACTTTAATATACTTTAATTTCACTGTCAAGGCAGCTCTCAACTTCGATGATGACTTATTCTTCAATCTCGATGGCATTGAGGGTGAAGATGAGAAGGAATTATTACTCAAAAAAGATGTTATTATAAAGATGAGACAACATGGCTGACCTGGGTGAGACATTGCCACTGGTTTCCCCATAACGGAAAAAGCTCTTGTGAACAGCTGTTGATGAATATTATTATCCACTGGCTAAAAAGGGGCTAATGCCATTCTCCCATGTCGAACTTTTAGCTGATGCAAAGTGACCAAATTTGACTAAATGCAATCCATGGTCTCAGTCTTATATGCATGCATAATGGTGAACCTCTAAAGCTGTCTACATTATGCACTTGACCTGGCGGGAGTAAGGCCCACAAAATAAGGAACTGGTCTACAAAGCAGTCACCACCCTTCAGAATGTCATGGGGATCCAGAAGTTGAGGCTCAGCTGCCATCAGAGTCGCTACATTGGGACTGCAGTACAGAGTGGCTCTGATGCCGCCACACTGGTAGAGATATCTCTCATAGATGCCGTATTCAATGAGACTCTCCATCAAATCTCTGTGCGCTCCAGGGATTGGACAAAGCCATATGCAGACCATATGTGGTGAAACTAGATAAATTAGATGATATCGTTGCCACAGACTTGACATCACTGAAGATGGGTGCTATATTGAAGGACGATTAAGCAGCCTTACAGATTAGTGAGACACTGGCTGGAGACTAACCAACACAGCAATATCAGTCTCCAGCATCTCTGTCAGACAAAAGGGAATTCAAAAAAATACCTGCAAAACCTTAGGCGCATTCTTGCTTGGTCTGGTTACTGCAGGATATGCCACCTTGGTTCGATAGTTTGTTTCTGTATGTCATTATTCAAATCATAGTATTGATTCTTTGGCGGACATGTTCAACACAAACATGGCAAGTGATTATGTGATTGGAGCATTGTTTCTTACCCATGAGTTTTGTTCCTGAGGATGTTAAAGAAGTGCATGTCCAGAACTTTTAAATATGACCATGTTGGTAAAGAATTCACAGTGAGCCCCCCTTTCCTGTTTCCCTGTAGACTACAGGGAATGATCACCCCTATACCTATACCGAGACCCCCCATACTTGGATAGAAACCCCTAAGAAAGCACTTACCAACATCTCCATTTTCATAGTTTTATAGTCTTTAATCGAGTATACAATGATGATATAATAACAGGTTTTCAACTAAAGCCAACCAGTCTGCCTCAATGCCTTCCCCAATGTTATATCATTGACAGAAAGCACACCTTCAACAATGTCACGAACAGTAGTCTCTCAGGTGTATACATACATACAAGCAATGTCTGTTGTGAATGAGTCAGGAGACTTACTTCTAAAGCATAATGCTATAGATAATTATGGCGACACATCTTCCAAAAGTGCACCTTTCATTATAGGGATTCTTCTGATAGAGCATTTGTCCTCTCTATGTGACACTATGCTTATGCAAAACTGATAATGCTAACTTTGAAAACAGCTGTCACCACCCAAGACACGGTTGTAACTGCACAACGACCATTCTTTTTAAACTGTGATTTTTCCTAACATGGATTAACTTGACAACTATATAGAGCAAAGTTGTGCAGTATATTGCTATAGAAGTATCGTTAAATGTATGAACGCTATGTTAAGCATTATTTGTAATGTGTGATGTGAGTTAGAATCTTGTTGCTCGGTTTCAGAGAGTCCCGATTATTATGACAGCAATGGTTTTACCAGTTTTAATCGTGGATATAATTTAATCTGTCTGTGGCTTAAACCAAAAAACATCCAGGTATACATCTCATTTCAGCCAATATATGCAACTCCTCACAAGTGTCATTCTTTACAAACAGGAAGCTGAAGCTGAACATATTCTGAAACTATACGCGATAGGAGCTCGCATATCAAGGAACAACATCTGTCTGATGGAAAGATATTTTGCTATGAATAAATTCAATGGACAGGCTTCTAGCTCTTAAGGGACTCTATAAATATCAATTAACATGCAGTTAAAACACATTTAGGCCTCAAAATGTCATTAATATATAATTAAACTCGCAGCTTACTCCTCGGGGTTTTCTCACAGAGCTTTCAGAGTTTCAGAGTTTGGGTGCTTCAACTAGTATGTGTCTAAATGTAGTCGTATATATCAGTTTGTTAGACGTTGTTGCACCACTTTAGTTGTTTCATTGATCCTGAGCTGCCGTTGTACCGAGCAGATCCTCCTCGATAATTAAATTCAGGATTCGAGGGAGGTCAAATGTTACGGCATGTAAACGAATCTTTGACCGGCTCGCTCTGTGGGCTCTGGGTATTTTAGCAGTAAAATAGCAAAGGTTCCGCAGATTTGAACGTGAACTCGGCAACCTGAAGTGCTCGTGGCAAACTTGGAAAAGTTGCATGAATAATTATGGCGCAGGGGTTCGTCACTCAGACTGCACGTGATACGAAGTTCCCACATGAGGACGAGCATAAATCTAGCGGGAGTGAAAGTGAACACGAAAAGGGTATGCATAACAACAACGATTTCAAGACCTTTCTGAAAACTAGTCTCTGCAGATTGGAGAAGAAAATGGACAGGCTAAACGAGGAGCAGCGCGCGATAACCGAAAGGTTTGAAATAATGGAGAAAAAAACAGAAAGATTTTGAACGCTCGCTAAACGAAACTTCAATTGCGGTGTCCAAACTGAAATCCAGGGGTTGTCTTCCTCCAGGAAACTCATAGTAGTGTTGAGAATGAGAGGTTTTGGAGTAGTCAATGTAAAGGTAAAATGTTTTTCAGCCATGGCGCTTCAAACAGTAAGGGAGTAATGACTATTTCAGAACGTGGAATTTGAAATTAAAAAGATAATTTCAGACCCCAAAGGAAGATATCTAATACATACAGTTTTATTATATGGACTTATTCTTTTAATCAATTCATATGCTCCTAATGGTGAGAATAGCCATATTACATTTCAAAAAAATGTTTTCCAAGAAATTAGAGAAATTCTGTCTGACCCTGATATCCATGTAATCTGGGGGTGGGGGATCATAACATTGTATTATATCAAGCTAAAGACAGACGTGGAAGCAAAACCCAACAGTGGCACAAGGCCCATCAGCTCTTGAATAACTTTATTGAAGCTGGGGAGATGGTAGACGATTTAACCCCACTTTGGTACAAAGTAGGTTGGATTACTTCCTCACTAGTCAGTCTGTGCTAAATATTACAATCGATGCAAAAATTATCCCATGTGTGCACTTTGACCACTGTGCTATATCACCAAGTATTAAATATGATAAATGTAGTCGGGGCCCTTCATATTGGAAACTAAACACAAGTTTGCTGCGAGATGGAGATTACTTAAAATTAATTGAGGATAAATTTCCAAAGTGGATTGAGGAAGGGGAGGCCATTCAGGACCATCGGATTTTATGGGATTTCTATAAAGTTTTGTATAAAGAGGTCAACTATAACTTATAGTAAAGAAAAAAAGTGAAAAACAAAGAGAGAAAATCCTTAAAATGGAAAAGAAATTAGCGGAATTGGAGGGCGAGATGGGATACAGTCCAACAGTATATGATGACATCGCAGAGGGACATATCATTAGATCACGAGTTAATTGGCACGAATTAGGTGAGAAAAACTCCAGATATTTTCTGCAAATTGAGAAAATGAATGCCAATAGATCACAAATTACCAACCTTTTAAATACAAATGGATCAGTGATCCTAATTGGCACGAATTAGGGGAGAAAAACTCCAGATATTTTCTGCAAATTGAGAAAATGAATGCCAAGAGATCACAAATTACCAACCTTTTAAATACAAATGGATCAGTGATCCAGGCCCAAGAAATAAATAAACAAATCAAATTCTATTATGAAAAACTGTACGTACCAAAATTGACTGAGGACCAGGCTCAAATATGTGAGGGACTTATCACCTTGGAGGAAGCCAAATGTATTATTAAAACCCTGCCTGTCAATAAAACGCCAGGAAATGATGGTTTTCCAGCAGAGTTTTATACCAAATTCTGGCCATTGGTGTCTAAACACCGCCTATAAAAAGGGTCAATTATCCCCATCTCAGCGACAGGCAGTCATCACATTGTTGGGAAAAAAAAGATAGGGATAGTAGGTTTCTTAAAAATTGGCTCTCCATCTCGCTCCTCAACACTGATTATAAAATTGGAACAAAGTGTTTGGCCGAAAGGCTAGAAAAAGTTCTCCCAGATATAATTCATAATACTCAATCGGCCTTTGTCAAAAATAGACAAATAGGAGATGTGGTCAGTCTTGTAGAAAACATTTTTGACTATATGGATGAGGAAACTAAGCCAGGGATATTGTTAACAATAGACCTGGAAAAGGCTTTTGATACGGTAGAATGGTCCTTTTTGTTCAAAACTCTTGAAACATTCAATTTCGGACCCAGCTTTATTAGGTGAACAAAAACTCTTTACTCAAACATTGTTAGCTGTGTTATGAATAGGGGTACTAGTACTGGATATCTCGCTCTAGGACGAGGGGTCAGACATATAGAATATAAATATGTTTATGCTCAATACGGTCAGATCAAGAAATTACGGGAATCCCAGTACCGGGTTTTGGAACCATTAAAACTGCTTCTTTTGCAGACGACCTCACATGTTTCTTGACTGACCTCCCCTCCTGTAAGAGACTTTTCCAAATATTGAAAGATTTTGAAACAAATTCGGGTCTTGCAGTTAACAAAGAGAAGTGTGAAGCGATGTAAAAAACTAGCTACTGAAAGGAACTAATTCTGCTTGGAAAGGTACAGATTATTAAATCTATATATGCTCCAATATGTACTACCGGTAAATCTTACAGCCTGTCCTAATAGAATCCTGAAAGAAATTAACAAATTGTTATTTCAATTTCTGTGGAATGGGAAGGATCGGGTAGCACGGAAAACTGTGGTTGGGGAAGTAGGAGAAGTGGGCTGGGCATGCCCAACATTTTTTCTATAGTTAGAGCCCAAGGTATAAACTGGCTGAGGCGTTACCACGACAACAATACCCATCCATGGAAATGGCTTTTACATAGGAAATTGCACAGTATTGGTGGAGTCAAATCACTGTTGAGAGCCAATTTTAAAATAAAACTTTTACCTACTGTACTGAAAGGACTAAATCTTAGAATGATGCAAGCCTGGATTTCTGTGGTTGGGGAAAGCAAAGATGAGGAGCATTTCCTCAACCAATCTATCTGGAATAATTATAATATTCTTCAAGGGGGTAAAAGTATTTTTAACAACTATTTTTTTGAAGCTGGATTTTAGTATGTTGGACATCTTTTTAATGAACATGGTCAAATCTTACAATGGGAGGAGATCTTGTTGAGAGCAGCGTGCGCGTAACTGCTATCTGAAATGATATGGGATAATTGCAGCGATACCACCTAGCTGGAAACAAAATGTTGATATGTCAAAATTTACGAGGACCATTGATGAAAATACTGAGATAGGTATAAAATTTATTGGAGTGCAATATCATCTGAGTCAGTGCAAAATTAAACCAGTTACCGCGGGGTATTGTAAAACATTACTTCATTTCCCCACGATCAGACATTTTTTATATAAAAGCATTCAATTCATTTATAAATGAAGTTGTTACTGGTCACCATTTAAACTTACCATTGATTCAAA